CGTTACAGCATTTTCCCATTGGAAAGCGAAGATACATTGGCTTTCTGCGGCAATTCAGAGGCAAAAGAAGGCATCTTTGAGATCTAAGACTGTAAAGTAAGTAGCCCCGCCCGGAATTAAAGCAAGCAGGTTATATGGATTGGGCACGACTGGATGTATACTAACAACCGCATCATTGGCTGCTCTCAAGTCCTGCACAGGTCGATACTCATCTGTACCGGGCTTTTGAACAGGCAGCAATGGGGTGTTCCAGGGGGAAGTACAGAATTTTAGGATACCATACAGTATGAACTTATCCAGATAAGATTGGATGTTCTTCTTAGCCTTCTGCGGAATATGATATTGTCTCAGGCTTACTGGATAAACCCCAAGTTTTAGTTCGATTTTAATAGGTGGAATATTGCGGGCCAGTCCTGGTGGGTTGTTCTCTGCCCAAACTCCTGGTATGGTAAATAAGGATTCATCACTCCTCGGGTTTTGGCTAGTCAACACTGTATAAAGTCGCCACTCTTCTTCCTTTGGTACGGACAATGTCATAATACCTGAGGGTCCATTAAACTTTAAGGATGTTGTTCCATTTGGTAGGAGCGTAATCTGCGCTTGTAATTTGGATAGCATATCACGTCCCAGCAATTGGACTGGACACTCAGGCATATAAAGGAATTGATGTTTTACTACGTGGCCTCCCAATGTACAGAGTCGACTTTTAAGAACCGGTTTTTCAGCACTTCTTCCAGTTGCTCCTATTACAGTAATAGTTCTTCCAGATGGAGGAGCAACTAGATTAGTCACCACCGAATGTTCAGCACCAGTGTCGATCATGAACGCACTCCTTTTTCCCCTATTGATACATCGACCATAGGCTCCGCTCGACCAAGGGGGATGGAGCCCGGTCGGTATCAATAGTCCTCCATGACCGTGTCAGCCAATCCCACAAAGTCCCTACCTTCTCTATCGCGGGACCTTTGCGCTGCTGGATAGTACCTATCTTCCCTTACACTTCCTCTGTTCCCATTACTCCCTCTATTACCATTACTCCCTCTATTACCATTACTCCCTCCGGGGCCTCCTCTACCTCTCGCTCTGCCTCTAAAGTTTCCGTAACCTGCCCTGGGTAAGTCTCTCTCATCCTGCTCTCTTTGCGGACACTCGTTCCTCCAATGCCCTTCTTCCTTACAGTACGCGCACTGATTCCTACTCAAAGGCTCCCTATTCCATCTACCATCGCCTCTATCTGGGCCCCGTCTATCTACGCCTGCGATCGCTACCGCTAGCATATCTGCCTTTCTACGCATCTTGCGCTCTTCCTCTTTCTTACTTTCTGTTTCCCTATTCATATATACTTTGTTCGCTACCTCCATTGTTGGGTGATAGACATACCTGCAAACCCTTCTAATTTCTGTAGCTTGCGCTTAATATCTCCGTAAGCTTGGCTGACAAAGGCGGAGTTTACCATTCGGGAATTATCAGCGTCTTCCGGATTAAAGGGGGTATACAAGCGGTATGCCTCCAATAATCGGTCATAAAAGACACTGGGCGCTTCATCACTTTTCTGAATCACCTCAACTGTCTTCGACATGTTAATAGCTTTCTTCCCTCCGGCTTTCATGCCAGCAATTATAGCATCTCTATAGGCTTTAAGTTGAGCCATATCTGCGCCATTTACATTCCAGTCAGGATCGGTGTTAGGGTAATGTGTTGCGGCCCATGCTGCCGGATTGGCTTGATTTAAAGCACGGGCTCTCTCCTCTAGCGCCTTAATGGCCGCTTGGTTAATCCTTGTCCTTTCCTCATTATTGAACAATGTCATTAATAACTGCTGGCAATCAGCCCATGTCGGGTTATGTGTCTGAACTATCGAGGTGAACAGATCGGTCATAGCTTGTGGTTTCTCAGTGTACGAGGAATTGTGGGTCTTCCAATTCAAGAGATCGGTAGTCGTGAACGGGACATATACGAAGACTGGGTCAGCATGTGCCATTTGACCCGCGGCATCGATATAGGCTGACCCAGGATTCAGACGAAGAGGCATCTGATAATGTTTTAATTGTTGGGTACCGGTCAGTTGTCGGGTTAGTATGGGGCTACGTGGAGGGGCGTCAGTTAAAGGTTCCGGTCGAGAGGTAATAGGGCATGAGGATGTGGGAACTTGATTTTGGGAAAAGTTAGTGAATAGTATACTCCGAGCCGAGCTAGAAGAAGCTTGACCGGAAGTTTGAAGTGGCGCCAAATCAGGATATTCAGATCTAATGGGGGTTGGTCCTGGTTCCGGAAGGGGAGTTTTAATACGAGGGGGGTGGATTCTGTACTGGAGGAGGAAGCGGAAGTGGATGGGGGCAATAGGGGAAGGGGTGCAGAGCTTCCTGCATTCGCGTCACTTCCTCTTAAAGGAAAGTAAGGGGGCGGCAAAGGGATCTCGGACTCAGGGGGCGTGTCCAAAATGGGCCTAACACCAGTCCTAGTGGACAAACAAGTCCTGGCCACCATGAGGCGACATTGCTCCTCGTGGCATATCCGGATCCATTTTGGCGAGTCGTTTACGGCCTGCCCCCAACAATCAATGTATGGAAACTGTCCGTAAAGTTCAGGCCTACCTGATACAGCCACGTGTACACGCTGTACCAGGGTTGGATCCAAACTGCCACGCGGCGGCCATGCCGCAACCAAAATAGGCCACTCCCTAGTGCACAAAGTGACCAAACGTACAGGAGACATTTTAACCCCAAAATCACATGTTTTGAATCCCTTTTTAAAATTCTTTACCATACAACCTAAGGGATCCGAAATCGTTGACTCTGACGCGCCCATACTTATCAATGGAACGTCGTTGACAACGAATACTATGCACGCGTTCTTATTCAACAGTCACACCCGTTTCCTCTGGCAACAGCACCACGTGGTACAGTTACCGAGTGAAACGTACACAATAACACAATAATCACTCAGGGAATTCCCGTACACACACAGCTGTTACACCAGTCACTAAATAATCAATATTATGCCCTTTGGCGAAACTATACAGTCACCCACGCTATAATTCTCTATATATGAATTACCCGTCTATAACACACCCCAGTAACATCGTCTTTTACTAGTATCGGTTACAGTACGGTTAGCATAGGTCAAAGCACAATTTAAGGTCACAATACAATTATTAGTGGTTACGGTGTTAAACATGCAATAGACGACAATGATTAGTACTTATATACAGTGTCAGTAAATATACAGGGTTATGGTACCGTGCACTATGATACAGCAACACACTATTAACACTCTCGCTAGACGGCTGAGCTCGCGCTATCTAACAAGACATACACTTTACTAACAATCTTTTAACACATTTACAATCCCAACTAAACTATTGGCCAGTACCTTGAATGGACTACCTAAAACTATATACACCCGTTTTGGTTAGCCACACTGCCCAAACACCACATATAGCGAACTAGAGGGCGAAATTTACAAAATTGCCCTTCTAGTCTATTTACTCTATCAAAGTCTAGTGGGTTCCAAATTTACACGCCTTCCCACTTAGCCAAGATAGGTTGAGAGCTAGCGAACTGAATTTACACAGGCGCCGCTTAGTCTCCCGGTCCCTCCGACCTAGCGAACGTAATATACACCCTAGAACGCTAGTCTAGACAAGACACCGGTGTCCGGCTAGGGCTATTTACACAGGACCCCGCCTGACTAACCAGATCAAACGGTCTTACTAAAGAGCGTTCGATCGAGCGGTGCGCCTTCGCTCCTTCCCTCCGACAGAGGGGGCAGATTCCATACACAGATTTAAACCCCTTTTGGGCCTACCGCACAATCGGTATACCCCTAGTGGGTCTGCCGTCTAAAACAGCAGTTGTCTTACCTCCTCGTTCCTGAACCTGAGTTCACACTCATCGACGGGGACACCCCAGCACTTCTTACGTAGAGGCCGATGATCTCCTGGACAACAGACCAGTGGCGCCGAGACGAAGGGAGGTCCACGCAGAAGTTCAGGGGTGCAGCCGTAGAGAACGTGGGCAAAGATAGACCGTCTCACGCCTCTGCCTCTCAGCTACCGTTGAACGATGAGCTTCCCGGCCAATGCACCAAATGATACCGGAGAAACTGACGGAAGCAAAGCACAGAGGGATGGACACAGGTTTCTTCAGGAAGGAAGAGATTCTTTATTGGATCACCGATCGGGACTCAGAGGGACTAATGTCACCAAAAATACAGCAAGTTCTGAGCCCTGAACAATAGTGCAGGCTCCCTATATAGGCACATAACTCCTCCCATATTAAGCTCCACCCGCACATTCTCTTGACCAATCATTACAAATAAGAATTAACTTCCTGCTTGACCGCATGGCTTGTCCAGCACAATGGAGGAGGGGAATACTACATCCTGTATTCTTGCACATGCTCCGTACACTACTGATCGTATCTTGCCTCGTGCAACCAACTGATCGATACGTCAGCATATGCACGTACACATGCCACGTGGTAATCTCGGCCTACTAAATTTATTTTTACCGAGATTCCACCACAATGCAGTCTCTCTAACATAGGATAAGTGAGGCCTACCTAGCCAAGGGACGAGTGATGCAGTCTCTCTAACATAGGATGAGTGAGGCCTACCTAGCCAAGGACCGAGTGATCCAGTCTCTCTAACATAGGATGAGTGAGGTCTAGCTAGCCAAGGAACGAGTGATGCAGTCTCTCTAACATAGGATGAGTGAGGCCTACCTAGCCAAGGACCGAGTGATGCAGTATCTCTAACATAGGATGAGTGAGGCCTAGCTAGCCAAGGAACGAGTGATGCAGTCTATCTAACATAGGATGAGTGAGGTCTACCTAGCCAAGGACCGAGTGATCCAGTCTCTCTAACATAGGATGAGTGAGGTCTAGCTAGCCAAGGAACGAGTGATCCAGTCTCTCTAACATAGGATGAGTGAGGCCTAGCTAGCCAAGGACCGAGTGATGCAGTCTCTCTAACATAGGATGAGTGAGGCCTAGCTAGCCAAGGACCGAGTGATGCAGTCTCTCTAACATAGGATGAGTGAGGCCTAGCTAGCCAAGGACCGAGTGATGCAGTCTCTCTAACATAGGATGAGTGAGGCCTAGCTAGCCAAGGACCGAGTGATCCAGTCTCTCTAACATAGGATGAGTGAGGCCTAGCTAGCCAAGGACCGAGTGATGCAGTCTCTCTAACATAGGATGAGTGAGGCCTAGCTAGCCAAGGAACGAGTGATGCAGTCTCTCTAACATAGGATGAGTGAGGCCTAGCTAGCCAAGGACCGAGTGATGCAGTCTCTCTAACATAGGATGAGTGAGGCCTAGCTAGCCAAGGACCGAGTGATGCAGTCTCTCTAACATAGGATGAGTGAGGCCTAGCTAGCCAAGGAACGAGTGATGCAGTCTCTCGTTCCTGCGCGCGCATTCAGCCGGTCGCATAGGAAAGCATTTACCATGCTTTCCTATGGACGCTGGCGTGCTCTCACTGTGAAAATCACAGAGAGAAGCACGCAAGCGCCTCTAGTGGCTGTCAATGAGACAGCCACTAGAGGCTTTGGGGGAAGGCTTAACCCATTCATAAACATAGCAGTTTCTCTGAAACTGCTATGTTTATAAAACAATGGGTTAACCCTAGAAGGACCTGGCACCAAGACCACTTCATTAAGCTGAAGTGGTCTGGGTGCCTAGAGTGGTCCTTTAAGAGATTATTCTTCCATTGGCTTTTGAGGGGTTAAACCAGAAGATACACTTACAAGTTTAGTTTAATGAAGCAGTTTTGGTGTATAGATCAGCCCCTGCTGTCTCACTGCTCAATCCTCTGCCATTTAGGAGTTAAATCCTGCCAAATACTGGGATGAGTTTCTCATATTTTACATACACGTCGTTTTTAAAATATCTATTTCTTTTCAAAACGCAATGATTATTATATTAAAACTAGTTTCAGGTGACAGTTGACCTTTCAGGTAATGTTCCTTTGTTGCTTATAGTGTCCCTTTAAGGCGGATAGACATAAACAATGTCACTGTCTCTCCATACACACTGTGGCAGCTTGTTTGGAGAAACTCTCAATAACGGGTTTTATATATTAACCCCTTAAGGACCGAGGACGGTTCAGGACAGTTATCGGCATTTTTGCCTTGCCAACCGATGACAGTCCTGAACCGTCCTAACGGTCTGAGTTACTTACCTGATCGCCGTCGTTCCCCCGGCGGCGATCAGCGTTGCTCCCGTTGTGGGGAGACTGCCTGCAGCCCAGACAGTCTCCCCACACTGAATTAGGACCCCTGTGGCCATGTGATCGCTTAACACAGCGATCACATGGTCACAATAGGTGTCCATGTGTCTGCCTGCAGGGGGACTGTCTGTGCTGACAGGCAGTCTCCCTGCTAGTGTAAAATTTAAAAATAAAATAAAGTTAATGTTAATTAAAAATAAAAACAATTATATATGTGTATATAAATATGATATATAGACATATATTATATATAAATAATATATGTCTATATATCATATATATAATGTCATATTAAGTGTATTTTTATATTAATATGTAATTATATTAATATAAAAATACACTTATAATAAAATTACACACGTATATATATAATATATATAATAACTATATATATTGTATATATATATTATTATAAAATATAAATAAGTAATTTAAATTAAATAATTTTTTTTTAAATAATAATAAAGATTGAAAAAAATTATATATCTATATGAAATTTTATTCTAACTGTATTTTAAAATTAATATATATATATTTATATCAAAATACACTTAGAATGAATTTGTATATATATCTATGTATATGTAAATAAATAAAAATAATACGAAATATACATATGTCCATATACAAAATTACATAAATAATTATATAAATATACACGTAGATTTCAAATATATAAATATGCATGTATATTTAACTTCTACGTGCGTATTTATGTAATATTTTTACATAATTAATTAATTTTATTGATTGCAATTTGAGGGACCTGCCTGCCAACCCAGGCCGAAAGTCCAGAGAATTTAATTTGCTAGCACTGTATTTTACCCTGTAACGTTCCATGACACCCTAAAACCTGTACATGGGGGGTACTGTTTTACTCGGGAGACTTTGCTGAACACAAATATTAGTGATTCAAAACAGTAAAACATATCACAGCGATGATTTTTTCAGTGAAAGAGACTTTTTTTGCATTTTTCACACGCAAACAGCACTTTTACTGATGATATAATTGTTGTGATACGTTTTCCAGTTTTAAAACACTAATATTTGTGTTCAGCGATGTCTCCCGAGTAAAACAGTACCCCCCATGTACAGGGTTTATAGCATTTTTGAAAGTTACAGGGTCAAATATATGGGCAAATATTTTTACATTGAAAATGGCCAGGTTGGTTACGTTGCCTTTGAGAGCGTATGGTAGCCCAGGAATGAGAATTACCCCCATGATGGCATACCATTTGCAAAAGAAGACAACCCAAAGTATTGCAAATGGGGTATGTCCAGTCTTTTTTAGTAACCACTTGGTCACAAACACTGGCCAAAATTAGCGTTCAATTTAGTTTTTTTACTTTTTTCACACACAAACAAATATGAATGCTTACTTTGGCCAGTGTTTTTCGACTAAGTGGCTACTAAAAAAGACTGGACATACCCCATATTGAATACCCTGGGTTGTCTACTTTAAAAAATATATGTACATGTGGGGTGTTATTCAGAGATTTATGACAGATAATAGTGTTACAATGTCACTATTGATAAATTTTAAAAATGTATGTTTTGAAACCGCAATATCCTACTTGTACCTATAGCCCTATAACATGCAAAAAAAAGCACGTAAACACGGGGTATTTTTAAACTCAGGACAACATTTTGAATCTATTTAGCAGTTTTTTTCATTCTCTTTTGTAGATGAGTAAAAGATTTTTCAAGTAAAAGTCAAAAAACATGTATTTCTTTCAATTTTTCATCATAATTTTTTATTTATTTTAAATTAGATTGTATAAATAATGGTATGTAAAGAAAGCCCCTTTTGTCCTGAAAAAAAAAATATAATTTCTATGGGAACAGTAAATGAGAGAGCAGAAAATTACAGCCAAACACAAACACCACAGAAGTGTAAAAATATGCCTGGTCGCAAATGTACAACATCGCAAAAACAGTCCAGTCCTTAAGGGGTTAATCAATAGTTAGTAAAATTTACTCTGCTTTATCTTATTTACATGATTCTTTGGTGCCCCCTCGTGTTCAATGTCTTTACTGCAACAAAATCTATAGTCTTTTTTTTTTGTTTTTTAAAGTACTTACTATAGCTCTAAAAAATAATAAATATAAAACAAACTCACAGCATAAATATATGAAATGTACTGTCTTTATAAGAGTTAGCACATCTAGATTTGTGGATTTTCTAGATAAATGGTAATATGTCATTTTTTTTTTTAAGTATTCTCTGTTCTATATAAATGCATAAATCCCTGTTCACTTCCTATAACAAATTGCGCTGAGCTATAGGAAGCTGTTCGCTGTGAGGACCTGGCACAATGACTGCACATGCCAAGGTGGAGATTGTATGATGTCATAAAGTGTACAAAAATCATACAAATATTGCTACAAGTAGGAGCAGAAGATATAACTTCACCTATTACGTTATTATTTATATTATGTTATTATTTATATAGCGCTAACAGATTCCATAGCGCTTTACAGTGGGTGGACGACAAACATGTAGTTGTGAAGAAAAAAAAAGGGACTAGAAGGTGGCAGGTAAGACCGGCACCCTAACAGACCTAGTATCCTTGAAAGGAGGGTAGCTCTTAGAGTAACTGGACAGGTGCCTAATTATAGAGCGAAAAAGTAAGAACTAGGTGAACTTTAATGGTCCCTCATAAGGAGCAGAAATAGAAAATAATAAATAAAAGTGAAAGGAATGTGTACTAACTAAATAGATAATAAATAACAAGACATAAAAGCAGGATTCGCTGTCTACAAAGTCCATATACTTTTAGCAGCTTTTGTCTGCTAAATTATAATTTTGCAACTTGCCTGCTTGAGGTGTACCTGCCTCTAGACGAATACCATCTATTTAATGGTGGAATTGGTGTGATCTAATCTACTACACCCTCAGATAATCACCTTGGCTACCAACTGGGTCACTATCCGCTCATATTTGTAGCGGTTTATCCACTGACCCTCTACCCTCTTTCATACTGGTGTATCTATTTACTATGTTACCGGGTATTACAACTGTGGCTCACAGGTCTTTTCTCTAATATTCTCGATAGAATTCAGGGACTATCATCACATACTGCCACAAATACCCGTTCACCTAACACTGTCTTTATATATCCTTGAGGGTTAATAATGGCTAGTGACACGGTAACAGAGGGATTGAGGGCCTGCTCAGTGAGTTTACATGTTAGAGGGAGTGGGGTATAGTGACACAGGAACAGAGGGATTGAGGCCTGCTCAGTGAGTTTACATGCTAGAGGGAGTGGGGTATAGTGACAGTAACAGAGGGATTGAGGGCCCTGCTCAGTGAGTTTACATGTTAGAGGGAGTGGGTATAGTGACACAGTAACAGAGAGATTGAGGGCCTGCTCAGTGAGTTTACATGTTAGAGGGAGTGGGGTATAGTGACACAGTAACAGAGGGATTGAGGGTCCTGCTCAGTGAGTTTACATGTTAGAGGGAGTGGGGTATAGTGACACAGTAACAGAGGGATTGAGGGCCTGCTCAGTGAGTTTACATGTTAGAGGGAGTGGGGTATAGTGACACAGTAACAGAGGGATTGAGGGTCTGCTCAGTGAGTTTACATGTTAGAGGGAGTGGGGTATAGTGACAGTAACAGAGGGATTGAGGGGCTGCTCAGTGAGTTTACATGTTAGAGGGAGTGGGGTATAGTGACACAGTAACAGAGGGATTGAGGGCCTGCTCAGTGAGCTTACATGTTAGAGGGAGTGGGGTATAGTGACACAGTAACAGAGGGATTGAGGGTCCTGCTCAGTGAGTTTACATGTTAGAGGGAGTGGGGTATAGTGACAGTAACAGAGGGATTGAGGGCCCTGCTCAGTGAGTTTACATGTTAGAGGGAGTGGGGTATAGTGACACAGTAACAGAGGGATTGAGGGACTACTCAGTGAGTTTACATGTTAGAGGGAGTGGGGTATAGTGACACAGTAACAGAGGGATTGAGGCCTTGCTCAGTGAGCTTACATGTTAGAGGGAGTGGCGTATAGTGACACAGTAACAGAGGGATTGAGGGCCCTGCTCAGTGAGTTTGCATGTTAGAGGGAGTGGGGTATAGTAACACAGTAACAGAGGGATTGAGGGCCTGCTCAGTGAGTTTACATGTTAGAGGGAGTGGGGTATAGTGACACAGTAACAGAGGGATTGAGGGCCCTGCTCAGTGAGTTTACATGTTAGAGGGAGTGGGGTATAGTGACACAGTAACAGAGGGATTGAGGGCCTGCTCAGTGAGTTTACATGTTAGAGGGAGTGGGGTATAGTGGCACAGTAACAGAGGGATTGAGGGCCTGCTCAGTGAGTTTACATGTTAGAGGGAGTGGGGTATAGTGACACAGTAACAGAGGGATTGAGGGCCCTGCTCAGTGAGTTTACATGTTAGAGGGAGTGGGGTATAGTGACACAGTAACAGAGGGATTGAGGGCCCTGCTCAGTGAGTTTACATGTTAGAGAGAGTGGGGTATAGTGACACAGTAACAGAGGGATTGAGGGCCCTGCTCAGTGAGTTTACATGTTAGAGGGAGTGGGGTATAGTGACAGTAACAGAGGGATTTTTCTTACAATCAATACATTTGCTAGAATGTCTGCGAACACTCTGTTCAGGTGGAATATTATGTACGTTTAGACTGGAAGCTGGTTTATATATTGTACAGCGATGCGGAATATGTTGGTGCTATATAATAATTGTATGAGTGTACCATGACAGGTACATATTATGCAAACACCCCGTGCACTATAACCATCTTAGCTTATTGTAGTTTTGGAACCTTATTGTAGGTTTGGAACCTCGGAAGTACCTAATGTTATTTTTTATATTCCTTAAATGTAGCTAATTCTCAGGATCTGATGTTCTGTGTTAGTATAATGTGTATTCTAATTCTACCGGTGACAGGTAGGCTATGATAACAAGGAGGGTTAAATCCAGCTCTCCTGTTTGTATTATTAGCAGAGTAACAATGCGTTATTTAACTTTTATTATTGTGATTGTGTTTAATGGTGAGAGCTGATAGACTGGTTAATAAACGGTTAATAAATGGTTAATAAATCCTATTTGTATTATTAGCAGTGTTATAATAATATTTGTGATTATGGTTAATGGTGAGAGCTGATAGACTGGTTAATAAATGGTTAATAAATCCTATTTGTATTATTAGCAGTGTTATAATAATATTTGTGATTATGGTTAATGGTGAGAGCTGATAGACTGGTCAATAAATGGTTAATAAATCCTGTTTGTATTATTAGCAGTGTTATAATAATATTTGTGATTATGGTTAATGGTGAGAGCTGATAGTCTGGTCAGTAAATGGTTAATAAATCCTATTTGTATTGTTAGCAGTGTTATAATAATATTTGTGATTATGGTTAATGGGGAGAGCTGATAGACTGGTTAATAAATGGTTAATAGAATTCTCATTCTTTAAGAAATACATTGTATCCAGTGAGAGAGCTCAGAGGGGAAACCACGCCCATCCCCAGAGTGATCCAATCAGTGCTGTGTTGTACGCCCCGCCCCGCTCGCAGTGCGTGCTGTGATTGGCTGGGCGGGGTTGATTGGCAGGTGGAGAGCTGAGCTGTCAGGCTGTGTCCGCCATGTCTGGCAGGAAGGGAGATCGTTACTCAGTGCTGCTACCGACCTACAACGAACGGGACAACCTACCGCTCATAGTCTGGCTGCTGGTCAAATGCTTCAAAGAGAGGTGGGGCCCCTGGGACTGTGTGTGGCCCTTACTGACCCAGACTGGCCCCTGGGACTGTGTGTGGCCCCTACTGACCCAGACTGGCCCCTGGGACTGTGTGTGGCCCCTACTGGCCCTTGGGACTGTGTGTGGCCCCTACTGACCTCAGACTGGCCCCTGGAACTGTGTGTGGCCCCTACTGGCCCCTGGGACTGTGTGTGGCCCTTACTGGCCCCTGGGACTGTGTGTGGCCCCTACTGACCCAGACTGGCCCCTAGGACTGTGTGTGGCCCCTACTGACCTCAGACTGGCCCCTGGGACTGTGTGTTGCCCCTACTGACCCAGACTGGCTCCTGGGACTGTGTGTGGCCCCTACTGGCCCCTGGGACTGTGTGTGGCCCTTACTGGCCCCTGGGACTGTGTGTGGCCCTTACTGGCCCCTGGGACTGTGTGTGGCCCCTACTGACCCAGACTGGCCCCTGGGACTGTGTGTGGCCCCTACTGGCCCCTGGGACTGTGTGTGGCCCCTACTGGCCCCTGGGACTGTGTGTGGCCCTTACTGGCCCCTGGGACTGTGTGTGGCCCCTACTGACCTCAGACTGGCCCCTGGGACTGTGTGTGGTCCCTACTGACCTCAGACTGGCCCCTGGGACTGTGTGTGGCCCCTACTGGCCTCAGACTGGCCCCTACTGGCAATGGACTGGCCCCTCTGGGACTGTGTGTGGCCCTGACTCGAGACTGGCCTGGGACTGTGCGTGGCCCCTACTGGCCTCAGACTGGCCCCTGGGACTGTCGTGGCCCCTACTGATCCAGACTGGCCCTGGGACTATGTGCATTTCCACTGGCCCCTGGGACTGTGCGTGGCCCCTACTGGCCCCTGGGACTGTGTGTGACCCCTACTGACCCAGATTGGCCCCTGGGACTGTGTGTGACCCCTACTGACCCAGACTGGCCCCTGGGACTGTGTGTGGCCCCTACTGACCTCAGACTGGCCCCTGGGACTGTGTGTGGCCCCTACTGACCTCAGACTGGCCCCTGGGACTGTGCGTGGCCCCTACTGGCCTCAGACTGGCCCCTGGGA